CAACGAGAAGCCTGTTATTTAGGATACCTGTTAGGTAATGGACAATTGAAACCACAAGTCAGCAAGGTAGAGGCAATTCATCGCAGCCCACCACCAAGAACAAAGAAAGAAGTTAGATCCTTCTTGGGTCTGGTGGGATGGTACAGGCGATTTATCCCAGAATTCGCCTCTATTGCTACCCCATTGACCAACTTGTTGGCTAAGGCAGTACGGAACCCCTTACCATGGACGGAGGACTGTGAGTTGGCTTTTAGATCCCTCAAGGAAAGGATCTGTTCCAGTTCAGTTCTCCAGATACCTGACTTCTCTCAGCGGTTTGTGGTCCAGGTTGATGCTTCTGCAACAGGATTAGGAGCGGTCCTAGCCCAAGGGATTGCTGGGGAGGAGAAGCCAGTGGTGTTCCTCAGTCGTAAGCTGCTGCCTAGAGAGGCAAGATACTCTACAATTGAAAAGGAGTGTCTTGCCATTAAATGGTCCCTCGATAGCCTCCGGTATTACCTGCTTGGGAGAGAGTTTGACTTGGAGACGGACCATCGGGCCCTAAGCTGGATCAATGCGATGAAGGACAACAATGCCAGAGTTACTCGATGGTACTTAGCTCTCCAACCTTTCCGCTACAATGTCCGTCACATCCCTGGGAGGAAGAATGTGATTGCTGACTACCTGTCTCGGTACCCGAGCAGTACGCAGCTTGGAGAGAGAGAAGGTAGTGTAAAGAAGGAGACCTAATCAGACGGCAGTTTGGCGCTGGCTCTGACATACACACACACACACACACACACACACACACACACACACACATTCAAATTTGCCGCTCCTCTGTTACCGCTATGGTCCGGGTGCACACGAGACACATAGCACTTGTTCATTCAAACACAAAGTACCCATCGTCTTGATACAATAAACTCACATCGCATACACACGCATACATATACGTGCATATAGATTTACCTGCTCATGATGAGTTGATTCTGGGAGTGAGAGAGACAGATTAAACGTGATTGTTGGTATCGAGGGCTATTTATAGCGCACTGTCACGTCTCCGCAATAATGGCGTCACCCGGAAAGGAGGATACTATGTGTCATGTGATGTGGGAAATATTTTTGTGTCCATAGTTAATTTATGTCTTGAAAGAATATTACGTGATGTTGGTATGTATTTTATGGGTATATATTTATGTTTAATGTTTATTAGTGCGAGTTTATGTAGTACTTAAGCACTGTGAAATTTCATGTTCCCCCCGGGGTTTTGGTAAATGGTTGGCTCCAATAGGGGAGGAGCCAACAGTATAAAAGAGTGGCTGAATATTCATTCAGGGTCTCTTGGTAGGCTGATGCGTGAGTGTGCAGTTGTGGTGCCACGAACAAATCAATTAATGTTTTGCTGTGTGAAACCGTGTATTGTGGATACGTGTTTACAGTTTTTTTTTTGTTTATTTTGTTTAGTTAATATATTTTCGCCAGTGGAAGAGTTGATTATTTTTGTACAGTTTTGGACTCGCTTGTAAATAAGTTTCACCTCTATATAAATAAACCATCATTTTGCACCATAGTGCATTTGCGAGCTGGGCCATCATTTTTTATCTTGGACCATACCACGTCCAGGAAGTGGGCCATCAAAACCCACTTCCCTACAGTTCGATTATTTCGTGATTTAGGAGGACATGTTATCATTGATTTAAATGTGTTCAGTCACCATAAATGCGCTAAGGGCGCCATCTTGCGGGCTTACACAGAATGACTGTTCTATTTGTTTTCCTAATAATTGTATTAAGGGCTCAAAGATAATGCTATTCATACATATAAAGATCGTTGCCTTATGATCATATTACTTACAAATGTTAAAGTAAATTTATGTAAGTCACTCATTTAAGTTATATTTGTATTTTGTTCCAGAACCACACATGTTACATTTGAAATTATCATCAGTAAACTCTTTCAACGAGACTTGGAGTCTGCAGAGTGAATTCATTACATTTGATGTCATTACACAGTTCTGATCGACTGTCTGCAGGGGTTCGAAACAACCCGAATTAGTGTAGACTTAAACCTCAATTACAATAGCAGAACAATACAAGCTAACTCAAATAAACGTAAGCTACTCATATTGTCAAAGTGAGCTTGATGCTTAAGTAAAACTAGCTATAAGACAACAGAGTACTAAAATTACTGATTAAATGGAAGTAATAAAATGAGATGAAATTAATAAAAGTTAGTTTTCAAATTAACCAAAGCCAAAATACTAAAAATACTTGAACGTAGAATAAATATCCACAGATGTAATATAGTAGTGTAATATAATTAATATAAAATAACAAAGTGCTAAAATGGGGTACTAAAATAGGTAACAGGAAAATATGTGTCCCAATTTATTGAAACATGATGCTGCACAGCATCGATTTGCGTTATAGAGAAGAAAGTCAGACATACAGAAATACCGTGAAATCTGGTGGAGGCCAGATGGCTGTGAGTGGAGAGACCGTGTTGTGAGCGGGCACGTAACGGAGTACGATCAGTCTGAAGCAAAGGTGAAGTGAAACAGAACCGGCCCGTACATGGCCAAGTACCCAGTTAGCTGTTAGCAGTGTGCGGCGGAACTGGCAGCCTTCAGTCTTGGTAAGTGATCCGTAAACAAAGGCCCCAGCTGGCCGAAAGACAAACTAGCTCCAGTCCTAGCTCAAGCTGACCGTTGTCAACATGACTCTCTATGGGCTTCTCCCTCGACTTTATGCCTCCACGTCCCCCCGATTTAAATGAGCTTCTCCTCCTGTCTATACGGTAATTTCTCAACTGTGTGACAGAGAGTCGCGTGTTATGACGCAATCGTTAGCCTATTTTTACAAAAACTGCTTCTACGGGGCCATAACGTAAGATACAAAGTAATGGAGCCTTATACATTGTCTTGTTTCTTTAGAAATAAATAATGGACAAATGGAGTCTTTAAACGCCTCAGATGTAAAGTTATTCGCTGTCAAAGTGACGCCAAAATGAATGGGAGTCAATGTAATGCTAACAGCAGGCAGGGCTGGACTGGGACAAAAAATCGGCCCGGGCATTTTGGCTCAGACTGGCCCACTATATAACACAACCGAACTTTGCACGCCCTTGAATATGTATACCAACTCCTATTAAAACCACTAATGCCATAAGTGAATAGGAGTGAGTAAGAGTTAACCGATGAAATAACTACTAAGTTGAATTATACTCCACAGTGATGAATCCTAAAGAAATAAACTATAAACTATAAACTGGGATAGCAATACCGTTTTTTCCCACAGGTTTTTGTGAAATCTGTGGTGAGTGCACCTCTGTCCCTCTAGGGGGGTTGGGGGGGGGGCATGCTCCCCCGTACGAAAATTCTGGTGCACTTTGAGAGTTAAAAATAAAGAGCTCCAACCCATATTCAGTGTGCAAATTGAACAAAGAAAAATTCAAAACTCTTTTAGTTGTGATATAGTGTCTGTCTACATTACACTACTACATAATAATAGTTATAATATTAATCCCATGGCAGTAATAGCCATATGTTGTAAAACAAATGCACTGAAAAATAAAAGCAACTTTCATAATTAGTTTCGTACTAATTTCTATACAGAGATACGCACATGATCTTTTATTTTGACGGAAACGGCATCGAGCTTATATTTTGAAGAAAAACATGGTTTACAAACTCATTACTCATTATTGTCTCATTACAATTCTAATAAAATGCGTAATCGTCAAATATGTAGATGTGTAAATAATGCGTAACTGGGTAGTGGGTTCCTACATAGCCCAAGTGTTGTGACAGTAGCCTAGTTCTGCTTACCACAGTTCTCTGCACTCACTCATCTCTCTCCTTATCCTCCTCACTATCCTCATCAGACACTTGAAGGGCCTTTGAAGTTTCTTTTTTCACACTATTTCTCTGCACATTCCTTGCGTTTCTTCTCCATCGCTCTGACTATTTTGACAGATACACACTGCTCGCTCACTCAGAGCTCAAAGGGGGAGGAGTTTAAAGATGTGATTGGACCAGCCCAGTGTCAATCAAGAAAATAACCAATGGGCCGCTGATCTACGCGTTTCATCATGCGCCGGTCTGTGAGAAAAAGAAAAACCTACGCTGGCTTTTTTGTCCAATGCATTACACCGGCACAAAGATCCCAGAGCCGCTAATTTTAACAAAACTAAACGCAATGGGCCGCCGATGTACGAGTTTTATGGGCCGTTCAGACAAAAATAAAATAAAATAAAAATTAAGTATGAGATGTATCGGCCCACAAAGCACGTCGGCCCACAGGGCAAATGCCTGGTATGCCCGATGGCCAGTCCAGCCCTGACAGCAGGTGATGGTCTGCTCTGTGTAATAGCAATTTTCAGAGGTTAACAAAAACCAGCATCAAAAAGGTCAAGAAACTTTCAAGAGGCAAATTGTAATAAAGAGAAAAGGCTTTATTCTTGAGGACCCTTTTCACAACCGCAGCCACCCGATTTTGAAAAGGGCAGACCTGCTTGATTTCCACAAACAGCACATTTTATACAGTTTTTCTTGAGAAGCCGTAAGCCCCTCCTTTTCCTCAGGAGGTCGAATTGTCCTTTGTTCTTGAAAAGTCAAAAGGTCTTCATTTACAACCTAAATTACCTCCTGCTCCCCTGGGGCAGAAGGTGTGGGATCGCCCTGTATTCTCCCGATTAGATCTTTTCTTCGTGGGTTTTTCAGCTGTGTAAACATGATACTAGAAAAACAAGATTCTCTGTTCTCGTAACTCAGGAATACAAACAAAAGAGAATAAAATCAAATGAGAATATAAAAATGTCCATAACAGTCTGCTACAATGGCGGCTCCCGCGAAGCTTCAGTTTCCGGGTGATGGATTACCCCCTTGTCCAGAAGTTGGCAAAAGTAGATTTAGAGCCGATTCTTCATCCATGAAACCTTGAAATGACTGAGAATGACAACAAGCGCTGCCATCTAGAGTGGGATTGTAAATGTTCACTTTATACAGAAACACTGTTTATCCTGATGATGTGACACAGAATCTGCTTCAAAAGAAGAGGGAGAATAAAAGCAATACAATAATTCATGTCTTGTGCTTGTTGAAAATGATCATTTAGAGATCTGCATCTTAATGCTTGTTCTCATGAGTCTTTAGATTAGATAGTTGGGTGAAACTCTTTCCACATAAAGAGCACTTGTACGGTTTCTCTCCAGTATGAACTCTCTCATGATCTGCACAGGATGATAAATAAGCGAAACTCTTTCCACAGTGTGAACACTCATAAGGTTTCTCTCCAGTATGAACTCGCTCATGTGTTTTCAGGGTTCCTGACAGAGCAAAACTCTTTCCACAGTGTGAACACTTGTATGGTTTCTCTCCACTATGAACTCTCTGGTGTCTTTTTAAGTCACTGGATGTAACAAAGGTCTTCCCACAGTCAGAGCACAGATAAGATTTCACACCAGTATGAATACTCTCATGATCTTTTAAAATGTGCAGTAGTGAAAAACTCTTTCCACAAAAAGAGCAAAAGTGAGGCTTCACACCAGTATGAGTTTTAATGTGTGTTCTTAAGCTTGATCCAAAAACATATGTTTTCTCACACTGATCACAGCTGAATGATCTCACTCCAGAGTGAGAGAGAAGATGTTTTTTGAGATTATTTTGGGATGTGAAACTCTTTCCACACTGAGAGCATGTGAACGGTTTTTCTCCAGTGTGAATCCTCATGTGCACATTTAGGTTTTTTTTCTGTTTGTAACTTTTTTCACACTCAGAGCAGGTGAAAGATCCTTTGACTCCAGTTTTTCCAGCTCGTTTCTGTGTGAAATTCTTTTCAGTCTGTGAAATGATGTTTCCATCTTCGTTTGTAAAATGCTGTTTGTCCTCATTCACTTCCATCGGGTCTAAAATCAACATTAAAATTCAATTGAAGACGGACAAATTAGAAACAAAATCAGAAAGTTTGAGCAAAATCCAGTTTACTACTAGTCTACAAGTTTGGGATTTTCTTGTTTTATGTCAGTTTTCATCTTAATGTTCCTCATCAGTCATTAAAGAGAATGAAGGAAAACACCAACCTATTTGTTCCTCTGTATCTTCATCTTTTATTCTGCAGGGTTCTTCCTTAATCTCCATCTTTACAATAGTATGTCCGTAGTTTCTCCTGGAGTAATTCCTCCTGCTTGCTTCTTCTTCTCCTGTGGGAAGATGGGAATATTCCCCAGCATTTAAACTCTCATGAACGGCTGTGGGAGCTTCACTGACTGAAGGAGTGAATTGTGGTCGTTGTTGCTCATTTAGCAGATGATCATCACACTTACAATCACTCGAGATTATCCAGGTGCAAATGTTTTGCCAGAACAGTCGTTTAGAAACAATTCCATGAATTAAAAAAATACAAACAAATAGTCTACTAACTCTTAAACAACCTTGGTTAAATCTGACTGAACAACACCTTCCGAACTTGAGATCCTCCCTAAAAGCCCAAACTTAACGTCCAAACCAGATATAGTCTACTGTCACTGAACTGCAGGTCTAAGTTGCTTAAAGCTGCAGTCCGTATCTTTTCCTCTTTGTCACCATCTCTCTGTTCGAAATCTGTAACTGCAGTGATTCGCGGAATTATCATCTTTACGTGGGTTGTAAATCGGCATGAAACAGCGCGGATGAACACAGTGCTTTGAGGCGAGTGCTGCTGTCAGTCACCGCGCTGTGTGGATACTGGCATACAGAATCACAGATTCACTTTTTAAAAATGTCTGACCAACATAAGAATTTTCATAAGAAAATGTCTTCTGAACAAGTAAGTAAAATCCATTTTTGTTCTGACCAACTAAGGGGGAAAAAGCATTCGACATGATAAGCTTCGTTAGATTTAATCAACGCGATTTACAGCAACCGTGCAAATTATAGCCTACTTTGTTCTCAAATTGTTCATGTTCATAACAACATCAGCATTGCGTGACTAATGTTCAATTTAATGTGTTTTATGGTTGGCAGCTACCTGTGTAGTTCAGAATTCATATTCTCCATAATAGCAAAACGAGAAAGGCACAACAAAGGAAACTCCATAACTGTGTGAATTAAGAAAACGTACTGTTACACGATTGAACTATTGAAATGTCTTACTTGTTCAGCAGAAAAAAGCCGTCTCTTCTTCCGTTTTGAACCCCTTCAAAACACAGAGTTCACGCACTTTTCAAAAGCCCCGCCGATGTTTAAATCCTTGTGTTCGCATGAGACGGTTTCTTTCTCTTTCTCTAGCCACCTTAAATCCGAAGTACGAAATCTTTTGGGTTTTATAACTGCTGAATCTCAGTTGACACTGATGATTGTTGTTTGGATCTTTCTGGATGCCATAAGTTTAATTATGTAAAGTGCTGCGAGAAAAGCCTATACATCTAAACATCTCGTCACGCGCAGTATAGCCGGCTAGCCGAAACTCCTTCTTTATGTGTACGGGTGTGACGTAATGACGCAAAGACACGCTCGGATTTCCCGCGGAAACCCACCAGTACCACTGGAATTAAAATCATTATTACAAGCTAACCGTTTTGAATCTAGCTATGGCAAGCAGATAGTTTTGACCACTGGCAGAATACGTTTTTTTAACTAAAATTATTTTGGATTATTTTTAACTTAAAAAAGTTACGGACTGGAACTTTAACTGCATTAAGAGGCGAAAGTGATACTGTTCCTCAAGCGGCTTTCTGTGTATGCGCTCCGAGACGGAGTGGAACATGGAGAAGAAAAGTGAACTTTGGGTTTGTGCCTAAACACTTAAAAACACACATAAATATGCCTAAATGCCCAGCTTGGTGATCCTCATTTACTCACCCTCAAGTTGTTTCAAACCTGTATGAATGTCTTTGTTCTGCTAAACACTAAAGAAGATATTTTGAAGCATGTCGATAATCAAACAGTTGATGGACTATGGAAGTCAGTGGGGTCCATCAACTGTTTGGTTTTCAATTTTAAGTGAACTATTCCTTTAAATAAGTTTGGTTTATTAAGCGGCAAAAGTTACATATAGTGTATACCTTTAACTGATTTCATTCATGTGTTTATCAGAATGAGATTTTATTTTTATTGGGAGAAATCTAAATCAGACAACTTGCATTGAGCTTCTCAGACAGAACTATGGTAAATATTCATCTCTTAATGACACTCACATGTTTTATTAATTAAACTTGTATAACTTTAAAATGAATTAAATGTTTTGACTCCAGAAGGTGAATACAATTACAATTCAATTAAATTACAAGTTTAAAGCTTTAACCCAAATCAAATATATTTGGGGAAATAAATAGTGTTTATATAATCTTAAACAAGATAATAGATTTTATATTGGTTGTTTTGTATCTAATGAAGGTTATATAGTTTAATATGGTTTCCGCCAGTAGAGGCGCTCGAGCAACCGAAGCAATGACACACATCCGAGTCTAGGAGAAGAAGAGAAGTGAGCGAGGGAAGGGAACATAAACATGAGAAGTGGAACACAGCCGTTCATTCTGCTCTAAATCTGCTGTTTTACAGACTGTGAGTACATTCATTTTATCATTTATTAGGAGAAATCTAAATCCGAACGACTAAACGAGTCGGTTCATTTAGTGAATCACTCAGAAATGAATCGAAATGAATCGACTGATGTTGTTCATTACGCTCGTGAAACAAACTTGTTACTGACTGTTTTTCACATTACAATTTTTGAAGATTGAGTTGGTTTTCATTTTATTTAATGAAACCTGGTGAACAGTTTTAATGCATGTAAATCTTATCTAATGTAAGAGCAACATACAAATCAGCTAGAGGAGTTGAATTGTTTATAAATGGTTGTTTGATCGAAACAGTTAAAGCTGGATAATCTCGAGTGATTGTAAGTGTGATGATCATCTGCTAAATGAGCAACAACGACCACAATTCACTCCTTCAGTCAGTGAAGCTCCCACAGCCGTTCATGAGAGTTTAAATGCTGGGGAATATTCCCATCTTCCCACAGGAGAAGCAGCAAGCAGGAGGAATTACTCCAGGAGAAACTACGGACATACTATTGTAAAGATGGAGATTAAGGAAGAACCCTGCAGAATAAAAGATGAAGATACAGAGGAACAAATAGGTTGGTGTTTTCCTTCATTCTCGTTGACTTATGTGGAACATAAAAGACCAATTCACACAGACAGACGCAGATCCACGCAGAGAGTCACCAGATTACGGATGTCACCATACCAAAAACTAGTAGTCTGTAATACTGATACCACCATGGTAAAAAAAGAACAACATACTTACAACACTTAAATATTAACTCCTTTATATGTTTTTATATGTATTTTTATACTTTTAAAAGAAATTACAATAAACTCACCAAAATGTTTGCTCACTCACTCAGTGTATTGGTTTTTTTATTAGGTAATTTGTTGCAATAATCAGTAATAAAATAACGATTAAACACATTGGAAGCAGTAGCATAAATAAAAACAATAGAATAAAGATAATTAAGCAATGCTGTATATTTTCTTCAGGTATATAGGTCTCACAGTAGTATTCAAGTAAAAATACCACATAAATTGAATAATCAAATATTAAATTACTCTGCATAGTCATAACTGTATCATTTAAATATTAATCCTTATTTAAGCTATTAATTCTTATTTAAGATATTCTTTGGTTGTTTGATTATCATTATTAACACAGGCAGCCAATAGACAGCAGTTTTTAAAGGCTGCTGTCACTTAAGACCTAATGAATGGGGGCATGCTTTTACTAGGGGTGGGAATTAGGGATGTCAACGATTAATCGACGATCGATTAATTGTCGATAACACGTTTAATCTATAAACCTTATCGATCATCGATTAAGCAGGTTCATGCGCGTGCGTGCTGCTCAACCGCGAAACATGTAAGCGAGCGCGCTGGAGTTATGTTTGGCACTATTTTACACCTTCATCATGACTATAAGTTTGCGTGTGCATTCGCTGCCTTTTGTTTTGTGCAAATGTAAGTTGTAATAGTTTATTTTGTGTGCGCCTATCTATATCTGATTTATCTATTAGATGCATTTGGTTAAGAATTGACGCAGCGTGATCTTTAGCGCGCGCAGCTCAAATGGCAATGCACGACTAATAACGACTATTGGGACTGTCATATTATATAACATTATAAAGAGAACAATATTGTAATAAAACATTGTGAATTATTTGGGTTTAGTTGCCGTGTCGCGTTGTTCCAGGAAGAGCGCGTCCACAACATGAGTCATTCTGAATGGCACGTAACTTAGTTCAAGTTCACTTGTGCATTCACGTCATTTTGTGCAGATATAATTTGTAATATTATGTTTATTTTGTATATATCTGATTAATCTCATAGGATGCATTTCTTTGAGTTAAATAACGTGCTAGCAAAGTGCTCAACGGTTAAGTTATTCATTCAGCGCGCGCCGCAGAATGCACGACTAATAACGAGGATTAATTTGGGACTGTCATATTACATAACATGAGAACACTATTTTATTAAATCGGTGTGAATTCATTGGGTTTAGTTGCCGTTTTAAGTGCGTTGTTCCAGGAAGAGCACGCGTCCACAAGTCACACATTCTGACAAGCGCATCTGAGGCGGCGTTGGTGACACGTTGTATTAGTCGTTATATTTGATTATTAAATATTTAATTTAATTCAGGGCCTGAATTTCGTTTTGGAAAATGGGGGGGAAATCCCCCCTTAGATGATTCTCATGGGGGTAGGGGGTTGGGTTGAGGGGAGAAGGGCGGGGGGCATTTTTTCCAAACAAAAATTACATTTATCTTGCCTAAATGTTTGCGCTCATTGCACTTTTACAATGGGGTAATATTGTTGTTAAGAGTTTACACAACACAAGGAAGCTTGATTTAAATTGTTTAATTAAATTGAAAAAAGTAGCACAAATAAATACAATAGAATAAAGATACAAATAAAGACAAATAAAGAGAAAAGTTTTTCAATGGGTCTAACTTCATATAGGCCCACAGAAACTGAATAAAGTAATCAAATGAAAAATAACACTGGGTAGTATTTTAGTCCTGAATAAATTAAATATATATAGGCTATTAATCCTGATTCCTTTAACTTAAAGCTATATTTTGTTGTTTTGACAACTAAATTAATGAGCTAGTGCACGGATCCTTATGTTCATTATACTGGCATGCGTTTTATGCTTATTAAAAGACAAAAGCGACTATGTTTAGAGTATACTCACGAAGACCGAAATTGACACAATTTTGCGTGTTAAAGCAATATAATCCGCGAAATATAACTTTTGTTACTGGCCAGCTGTTTTTGAGGCCGATTCTCTATGAATGTGCGCATAGAAAATCATCTCAGAGAGCTCGCGAGCACTGATTAGTTTAAAATCGCTTGAATGTTTAAACTGGTAAGACTTAAAAAGACGTGCAAATGGTAAACTTCAGTCACGATGCACTGCTGGCCCGATTGTGCAAGTGAATATTCCCTCATGTCCCGACTCCTAAACGCGAGTGTGTATTATCGCCGCAGCGCTTGATGCTTGCCTTGCACAACACATTTTGAGAGAAGAGATAGAAGAGCGCGCGGCACCGCTGAACACTCACGCTGTTTGTGAAATTGCTTCTGGCAGAGAGTTGTTAAAAGAATGATTTGATTTTATAATCTGTGTGGATTACGATTGCGGGAATTTCCTGCATTATAAATGGGAGACCGGTGGGAATTATTAGAATTATGCGCAATACCCGCAATCCCGCGCCGAAATTCGAGCCCTGTAATTTAATTCTCAATCACATCGAAACATTTTACAATCCTACTAGCCCTTTATTTAGATTAAAACCATTCTCATTAATTTGGTGAGGAACATAGCGGTTTGAGCAGCATTTGCAGACGCTGTCATGCTGTTGGCCATATGCACTGCAGCAGACGCATATTGCAGTATTAAGGCTAACGATTAATCGATTAATTGATCGTTAATTTAAACGACGATCGATCATGGGAATTTGTGAAAATTGACATCCCTAGTGGGAATCTATGGTCACCTCACGATCCGATCCGATTCCGATTCTGGGAGTCACGATCCGATTCCAGAACGATTCTTTATCTATCTTTCCCCCCCTTATTAATTCATTAGTTTACATAAGTAATTAAGTACTTTTTAAAAAATAATTACAAATTAATTTGTTTTTATTAAAACAGTTGTATGTTAAGAATTTTAAACTAATATAACAAATAATAAAGAGGAGCATAGAAAAATATAACAAACAACAAACAAAAAGTGCTTTCAGTAGCCTATAGATTATCTGAACGTTTTCCATTCAAGAACTGTGAGGGATTTTTCTTCATCTTTACTGTTGTTTTTACTATGACATCATAGACTGCGGGAGATCTATTGAGCTGCATTCACGCACGCATCTCTTTTGAAATAAAAGAAGTAATGCGGTGTGTCCTTTCCGTTTAATCCCTTAAGACATAACTGGCTGTGTTTACATTAATTTTGCACAAATACATTAAACCACTATACGGAGTCGCACAGCCGCATGCGCGAGCAGTCTCACAAACAAAGCATTTGAAATTGAAAGCAGCCTTCTGTTACTTATTGAGGTTCATATTTTAAATATATAAGTCCACTGCATTCCAAACCACATACATGATGACTTCGTAGAGCATTTGTAAGGAAAATACCGACGGGCGAGACAGAACACTTCAAGTGTAACATCAAAGAAAGCGCGCGTCTCTCACAGCGTATCCTGTGCAATGAAGCCTGTGAATGTCCTTGTAATTCGCTTCAACCTTTCCGAACTTTATGAAAGATTATTTTACGCAAGGTTCGAGTGGTGTATGTGTGTGAGGAATTGGAAGCAAGCAGAATACGGGTGTTTCTAAAGCAAACTCAACGTCATCGCACATCTGGTTAAAAACTAAGCTCAGAATCGATTCTGGAATTCCCAGAATCGATCCAGAATCGTTGGAGAGAGAATCGCGATGCATCGATGGATCGATATTTTCTCCCACCCCTAGCTTTTACACATGCTGGTCACTAGGCCTGTAGCGGCGCGTCGACGTCAGAAAATTCAGAACAGAATAACAGAAAATTCGTCGACGTCATATTTTTTTGTCGACGCTTCTTTATTTATTTATGTATTTATTTTTTTGCACCGTTCCCGGCGGTACAGCTCGCCACACACACGTGGGAGACCGAAACATTGCAGAATCGAGGACGAAACAGCAACCTCTTCACAGAATTCACAACAAAGCCATGCAAAAGTCCCAACAAAAGAAAAAGTCCTAAAAAACCCAGCTCGCACTAAATCATCGAAGGTATGGGAATACTTCAAATTTAGTCCCAAACGTAAAGGTGTCGATATTTGCGCTCTTTGTCAAATGGAGTTGACATCCCAATTCTCCCGCATAGTGATAGCGGCTCCCTGATGACCGCAAATTAGTTAAAATCTCCCGGAATCTAGAGCTCGCGAGCTCCAAACCGTGTAGCGCGCGCAGCGAGGGAGAGAGCGAGAGACCTTGCGCGTGTGTGTGCAAATGTGCGTGTGTGCCTTATGAAGCGCATGTAAACCCCACCCCCATCAACAAAACCGAAAAATCAGTCCGGATGTTTTTTATGAGCACTGAAAACATTAAAATGAGCACCACATCCAAGTGTGATAGGGCTCATTTGAGTAGCCTACCAAACATTTTACAGTGTAGATACTCTGTAAGAACCAGATCAAAATTGTTGTGCATTGAATGTGCACTCCTGCAATTTCCATGTTACAAAAAAGAATCGTTCAATTAGTCGTTAGATTAGTCGACTAATCGATAAAATAATCGACAGACTAATCGTTTAATTAATAATCGTTTACCCCAGCCCTACTGGTCACATTCACATAATTGACGCAAATATTCACCAAGACGGGCATTTTGACATAACTATGTGTGTATTTGAACGTTTATGTGTAATAAGCCACGAAAATCTGACACTTGTGAGAGACGGCTATGTGTGTGGGCGTTGGTTGAGCACTGACTGAAGAGGGCGCGCGAGTACTTTAAGTTTATAGTTTAAAATCGCTTGAATTTATAAATTGGCCTGATATAAAGCACTAAAGTCTTGTATTGTACCGTGCAGCTTGCTTGCAGAGCAAAATCAATGTGAATATATGGATGTGAAGACATTTGCGCATTTTGAGAGGGCGAAAGAGAAGACTTGACGAGCCGCTTGCGCTGGTTTCTGTGACTAAAACTGCGATCAAACCTTCTGTAATAATTCCAAACATGAATCTCGACTATATTAATAAATGCACATACACAGTTCTATGTGATAATACATAATAATTTATTTTATTTTTTTAGAAAACCTGTAGTATTTTCGAATTACCGCGCTTTACACCCTCATATCCCCCTGAGACGAGAGATTTATGAATTCAAAAATAATTTCACATTTCTTCTACATAAATGACCCATTTTAAATACACATTCATCTTTCCAGAGGTGAAGTATCCCTTTAAGGAAGAACCCTGCAGAATAAAAGATGAAGATACAGAGGAACAAATAGGTTGGTGTTTTCCTTCATTCTCTTTAATGACTGATGAGGAACATTAAGATGAAAACTCACATATCCTCTTGAGATCCAGGCTTCGACTTTTGAGTCTGGTTTCCTGTAAAGAGCACATTCAGGGCTTTTCAGAGATACCACATGTTTAGGTTTCACCATTACAACTCCTTCTCTTTGGCTTTAAAATCGATCGACTGAATGATCAAATCTATAAACCCCAGTCAGCTGAAGATTGTGCGTACATGCGTCTCCTCCCAGAAATAACCATATATGAATCTTACAACGCCGCGTTTTACAATGCGTAGCATCATCTGCATTTCATTTCCAAGCATATTCTCATCCATGTGATAACATGTTTAATGATACAAGACAGTAAAATATGAGATACGGACTATGTGCCGTCACATTACATAACTAAAATTCTTTCAGTATCCTTGTCTTGTTTTGCCATAAATAATTAAAAATTGTATAAAATACATTTCAGAGAAAGTTTTCAGAGAAGAGTTATTTTTTATTAATTAAAAGGGAATTAAAGGGATACTCCACCGATTTTTCATATTAAACTGTTATTCCCTTAACTAAGAGGAGTTGATACATACCTCTCTCGTCTCAGTGCGTACACTCAATCGCTCTGGCGCGCGAGACACTTTGATAGCACTTAGCTTAGCCCAGTTCATTCATTAGGATCCAAGCAGAGAAGCGACCAAACACCTCCACGTTTCCCTATTTAAATACAGTTACACGAGTAGTGTAACTCGACCAAGAATGGTGACACAAAATAAAACATTGCGCTTTTCTAAGCGTGTAAAGTGGATAACTATAATGTATGGCGGAATAATAGCAAATGCTTGGGAGCACTTCGACTCGGCGCAGGATTATCATCATATCATCACTCCGGAGAGGGAGAGGATTTTTCAGGAGTGATGATATGATGATAATCCTGCGCCGAGTCGAAGTTCTCCCAAGCACTTGCTATGGTATTCCGCCATACATTATAGTTGTAGTTGTAGTTACACTACTCGTGTAACTGTATTTAAATAGGGAAACGTGGAGGTGTTTGGTCGCTTCTCTGCTTGGATCCTAATGAATGAACTGGGCTAAGCTAAGTGCTATCAAAGTGTCTCGCGCGCCAGAGCGATTGAGTGTACGCACTGAGACGAGAGAGGTATGCATCAACTCCTCTTAGTTAAGGGAATAACAGTTTAATATGAAAACGGTGGAGTATCCCTTTAAAGCGGAATTGTCATGCGCCAAGCAAATCCTCGCTGGTTAAAACATTAAAACAGCATGCTACTGGAAAAGTGTTCAAAAGCAGTGCATCCACTACAAATATTTTTATTTAAATGAATAATGAATCAATATTTAATTTAAAGGTGCTCTATGTAACTGTTAGCGGCCTCTAGTGGTGATGTTTCAGATTGCAACCAAATTTTACAAGAGCGCTTGTGCTCGAACTCATAGACAATACCGTCTATTACGCAAATATCTCGGCGAATACTAGACGGATTCGGCGAGCACCGAGCTCGTTGGGACCATCTAGTCGAGCTGAAAAGAGCCATATAAGGTCCATAGTTTTTGGTGGTGTTTTCGCGGAGATATTAGCAGAAAACCATCGGGCGCGCTGCAAAATTGCGGACGCCGGTGACGTCACGATCTCAGAAGAAAATCGCTCGTATCTCTGGAACGCAAAGACCCAGAGAGCTCAAATTCGGGGGAGGAGGTCCCAGGGGAACCCTTGCCCGAACACTAGAGTGGCGGGCCTCGGGGATGCCCCCTACCGGATCGCCGTTCGCTGGGACCCCCGATTTCGAACGGCTATAACTCGGGGAGCCGGGCGATTTGGACCTCGGGGGTGGGCTCGTTCGAAAGGCCCCGTCCAGCACTACGAACGATTAGAGTCTTGGGAATATTGATCAAAGATTGACTGAGATATAAGCCAAAAAACGTGCGCCTTTAACCGGACGTAACTCCCTGACCGTCTACAAAAGACTGTATATAAGGAGAGAGGCTCGGGAGCGCGCATGCACGTCACATCCGTTGGATTTCGCGGTAAATCCGACCCGGAGACTTCACATGGAAATAGGAATACTGGCCTTCAGAGGTAAGCAAAACTCGACAAGTGGATCATTTTAATGTGTGATTACAACCCCTTCACACACAGGCAATAAAAAAAGGATTCATTTTAGTAGAAAAGTTACATAGAGCACCTTTAATAATTAATACATATTTTTATAAATATTAAGTGTGTCCGTACGGTGTGCACATTTACGCCTAGTTTATTTTTTTGTAAATCACGATATGTGCTTGGAAAATTGCAGCGTTTATACATCTGGCCCCGGGACTTAGATGAAATATGAGATATTCTCATGAAAATGTTCCTAAGTTATTACTCATTATAAAAGTATAACTCATTCATTACATGTTGCCACAAGAACACATTAATATGCAAATTAAATAAATTGTATAGAATGGGACTACCCGTTTATGGTGATTTTACACATTGCATAAAGTAAAATAGTTTTTCAAATCATACTCTGTTATAAAAATGTATTGGTAAATTAAAAAAGAATGCCTATACATGTCTAATGTCATTTTATTTCTTAATAACTGAGTCCTGGTGTACAGACAAAATATGAATAAACTGTCTTTAAAAAAAAATCTCCATTTGTTTCTTATGCTCCAAATCTACTGACAAAATAAACAAATAAAAAAACTTAAAAGTTCTGGTTCTCCGGAGGATATAACAATACATTTAAAACTAGATACTAGTAGACTTGGTAGTAAACTAGATTTGTGCTAAATTAAGAATGAACGTTATCTCTTCTTCTCATTTGTCCTTTTTTTAATTGAATTATGGGAATTTAATGTTGTTTTTAGACCCGATGGAAGTGAATGAAGACAAACAGCAACAATTTCAAAAACCTCATAATTTCACAAATGAAGATGGAAATGCAGTTGTTTCACAGACTGAAGAGAATTTCACACAGAAACAAGCTGGAAAATCTGGAGTCAAAGGATTTTTCACCTGCTCTGAGTGTGGAATGTTTTACGTGCACAAATCAGACCTTAATAAACACATGAAATCTCACACTGGAGAAAATCTGTTCACATGCTCTCAGTGTGGAAAGAGTTTCAGTCAAAAAAGAAACCTAGAAGATCACATGAGGATTCACACTGGAGAAAAACCGTTCTCATGCTCTCAGTGTGGAAAGAGTTTCCTTCATAAAGGACACCTTAAGATACACATGAGAGTTCACACTGGAGAAAAACCGTTCTCATGCTCTCAGTGTGGAAAGAGTTTCGTTCATACAGGACACCTTAAGATACACATGAGAGTTCACACTGGAGAAAAACCGTTCACATGCACTCAGTGTGGAAAGAGTTTCAATCGCACAGGACACCTAAGATATCACATGAAAATTCACACTGGAGAAAGGCCTTATACATGCTCTCAGTGTGGAAAGAGTTTTGTTTACAAAAACATTCTCAAAGAGCATCTGCTCTCTCACTCTGGAGGGAAGCCATTCAGCTGTGATCAGTGTGAGAAAACATTTGTTTATTTATCTAGCTTAAAAAAACACCTTAAAGTTCACACTGGTGTGAAACCTCACGTTTGTTCTGTATGTGGAAAGAGTTTTTCGCGACTGGCGACTTTAAGAGTGCATGAGAGTATTCATACTGGTGTGAGACCTTATTTGTGCTCTGACTGTGGGAATGCCTTTATTACATCAGGTGCATTAAAACAACACCAAAGAAATCACACTGGAGAGAAACCGCAGTGCTCTTCATGTGGGAGGAGTTTCACCCAATTATCTACACTACAGAAACATAAGAAAAAGCATTGCCCGAAGGTGTCTAAGTGAGCAAAGTTCAGTTTCATGACTTGATGATATTCAGATCAAGCAAAAGGTGGAATTATGTTTTAATAGAGTAATTTAAAATTAGTATTGAAGTTTGATTGTTTGACAAGGGAAACCTTTAAGGAAGGTCAAAATGGTTGTGTATTGCATTTTAAAGGCCGGTTCACACCAAGGACGATAACTATAATGATAAAGATATAGTTCTAAAAATCTTTCTCATGTGATCGCAACAATGTGAAAATACTCCTGTCGGTGTCATCGCTTAAGCACTGCATGGTCATCTCATATCTCAGATATAGCACCAACAGATCCAGATCCAGGGACATACTACACCTGCAGCAACTACAACAGAGCCTGCCGCTCCAAAATCTGCAAACCAACCACAGAGACTCCTTGACGCATATTCCAGACGGATGCCAACAATGGTCATCTCAGACAGATGGAACAAAAATAATAATTCAGAAAACTGTTTTGCCATAAAACGCTATGATTTATGAAAGAATGTGTTTTGTTTCTTTGTGTAGTTTAAAGGAGAACTCCGGCGCAAAATGAACCTTTGGTCTAATAAAACATTGGTACCTAGTCAACCGTTCTCTGAGATTTGTTTTCATGATAATCGAATGTAAAGAGTTTTATCTCTAAAAACTGTTTAGCGTATAACGCTAGTAATGGGGGCATATAATAAGTAAAAAGAAATCGCTAGTTTATACCACTAACAAGGCTCAAAATAGCCCCACACGAACACAGTAACATAATGAGGGTCCCTACATGCAAAACGAAGCATTGAGAACTTTGTAAGTGTACAGACCGTTTAATAAGAAGATAAAGATAAAGACAGTCCACTTCGTGTATACAGACAGGAGCCATCTTTGGAAAACAGTCTCGACTAATCAAACCACGAACGCCATTCATACAGTTCAGAAGTTCACTGAACTTCATACAGCTCAGCTCACTTAGCACATTGTTTGTGGTTTGATTAGTCGAGACTGTTTTCCAAAGATGGCTCCTGTCTGTATACACGAAGTGGACTGTCTTTATCTTTATCTTCTTATTAAACGGTCTGTACACTTACAAAGTTCTCAATGCTTCGTTTTGCATGTAGGGACCCTCATTATGTTACTGTGTTCGTGTGGGGCTATTTTGAGCCTTGTTAGTGGTATAAACTAGCGATTTCTTTTTACTTATTATATGCCCCCATTACTAGCGTTATACGCTAAACAGTTTTTAGAGATAAAACTCTTTACATTCGATTATCATGAAAACAAATCTCAGAGAATGGTTGACTAGGTACCAATGTTTTATTAGACCAAAGGTTCATTTTGCGCCGGAGTTCTCCTTTAAAGGTGCTATATGTAACTTTTCTTCTAAAATGAATCCTTTTTTTATTGCCTGTGTGTGAAGGGGTTGTAATCACACATTACAATGATCCACTTGTCGGGTTCTGCTATTACCTCTGAAGGCCAGTATTCCTATTTCTGTGTGAAGGCTCCGGGTCGGATTTTCTGCGGAATCCATCGGATGTGACGTGCATGCGCGCTCCCGAGCCTCTCTCCTTTTTTTTTTTTACTTGTTTTTATTGAGATCAAAAAGTGCAATTCACAACATACAAATGCAATATCCTGGATGTTACAATATACATGGATACATCCCTATGTCTATCACTCCTCTAAAGCCTTTATATAGTCCATAGAGAAAAAGGAAATGGATAGATATAGCCAGCATAAGCTTCACAGTATAGACAAGGTGTATGTACATTTAACATAGGTATCATGGAATATACATTTGGATGGGGGACCACTGGTCCATAAATAAATCCGTTTTCACCTGCAATGTTGCTGTAATTTGTTCCATATAGTACACTTCCTTCACCTTATTCTTCCATTGAGAGATTGTGGGGGGGCTGCGGTCTGTAATCTACAGTCAGGAGACTGTAATCTTTTTTTTTTTTTGCAAGTACAAGCAGGATTTTCAAGAGATGAATATGATAATTAGTCCTGATTTTGTTCTCAAAAATTCCCAGAATAATACAGGATGGGTCCAGTGGAATCTTAATACTCAAACACTTATCAATTTAATCTTGTATGTCTTTCCAATAGTTCAATAATTTTGGACAATCCCAAAATATATGAGTGTGATCTCCCACAAGACCACAGCCCCTCCAACATTTGTCTGAAGTCCCACCAAACTTAGATGTGATAAAAGGGGTCCTAAATAACCTTACTTTTGTTTTCCACTCAAATTCTCTCAACATTGGACTACTTGATATTTTATGCCCCTCTTGAAACATTTGTTCCCATTCCTCATCTGTAATTATTATATTCATTTCTAGTTCCCATTTCTCCTTTATGACTTTTGTATCCTCAGCAGCTTCTCTTTATAAAAGAGAAGATATTTTTATAAAAAATATTTTATAAAAGTGAGAGATATACACTCACCTAAAGGATTATTAGGAACACCTGTTCAATTTCTCATTAATGCAATTATCTAATCACATGGCAGTTGCTTCAATGCATTTAGGGGTGTGGTCCTGGTCAAGACAATCCCCTGAACTCCAAACTGAATGTCAGAATGGGAAAGAAAGGTGATTTAAGCAATTTTGAGCGTGGCATGGTTGTTGGTGCCAGACGGGCCGGTCTGAGTATTTCACAATCTGCTCAGTTACTGGGATTTTCACGCACAACCATTTCTAGGGTTTACAAAGAATGGTGTGAAAAGGGAAAAACATCCAGTATGCGGCAGTCCTGTGGGCGAAAATGCCTTGTTGATGCTAGAGGTCAGAGGAGAATGGGCCGACTGATTCAAGTTGATAGAAGAGCAACTTTGACTGAAATAACCACTCGTTACAACCGAGGTATGCAGCAAAGCATTTGTGAAGCCACAACACGCACAACCTTGAGGCGGATGGGCTACAACAGCAGAAGACCCCACCGGGTACCACTCATCTCCACTGCAAATAGGAAAAAGAGGCTACAATTTGCAAGAGCTCACCAAAATTGGACAGTTGAAGACTGGAAAAATGTTGCCTGGTCTGATGAGTCTCGATTTCTGTTGAGACATTCAGATGGTAGAGTCAGAATTTGGCGTAAACAGAATGAGAACATGGATCCATCATGCCTTGTTACCACTGTGCAGGCTGCTGCTGGTGGTGTAATGGTGTGGGGGACGTTTTCTTGGCACACTTTAGGCCCCTTAGTGCTAATTGGGCATCGTTTAAATGCCACGGCCTGCCTGAGCATTGTTTCTGACCATGTCCATCCCTTTATGGCCACCATGTACCCATCCTCTGATGGCTACTTCCAGCAGGATAATGCACCATGTCACAAAGCTCGAATAATTTCAAATTGGTTTCTTGAACATGACAGTGAGTTCACTGTACTAAAATGGCCCCCACAGTCACCAGATCTCAACCCAATAGAGCATCTTTGGGATGTGGTGGAACGGGAGCTTCGTGCCCTGGATGAGCATCCCACAAATCTCCATCAACTGCAAGATGCTATCCTATCAATATGGGCCAACATTTCTAAAGAATGCTTTCAGCACCTTGTTGAATCAATGCCACGTAGAATTAAGGCAGTTCTGAAGGCGAAAGGGGGTCAAACACAGTATTAGTATGGTGTTCCTAATAATCCTTTAGGTGAGTGTATTTAGTAGTTATTGTCCCTTTTGTTACTGATAGAAAAAATTGCTCAATGTCAGAAGGTGGCTTTTGTAAAGTATGCCAGTCCTTATGTTTATGTAAATAGTGTCTCAATTGTAAATATTTGAACAGGTCCTGGTTTGGGAGGTCATACATATGTTGTAGCTGCTGGAAAGACACTAGACCTCCGTCCTCAAACATTTGACCCAACAGAATCAACCCTTTTTCCGTCCATGTGTCTTGGTTCACAAATGGAAGAGTATCAAGAAATATATTTTGACAGTCCCCTTGTTCCATCTTGTACCAGATTGCCTCTTCATCCCGGCAAACCCAAGTGACCATTGATCTAAGTCGTGGGCAGCCCAGTAGTAGTTTTTTTAAATTTGGTATATTCAATCCGCCAAGCTCTTTAGGGCACATAAGAGATTTCAATTGAATTCTCGGACGTTTGTTTTGCCAAATAAATTTTGAGAGCCATTTGTTTAATGTAGTGAATGTGGGCATGGGGACATGTATAGGTAATGATTGAAAAAGAAAGAGTAATCTAGGTAGAACGGTCATTCTGATGGTTTCTATTCGCCCTATAAGTGAAAGAGGTAAGATTTCCCATCTTTCTTGATTTCATCCAGTAATTTCCCATAATTTGCTTTAAACAACTGTGATGATTGAGGGGTTATAAAGATTCCCAGATATCTAAATCCCTGATTAGACATTCGAAATTTAAATCTACTCTTTACATTTGTGGGTAGGTGGCCATTTAGCAGAGGTGGGAGTTAGTCACACATGTGCAAGTCACAAGCAAGTCTCAAGTCTTAACCTTCGAGTCTCAAGCAAGTCCAAGTCAATTTTTTATAAAAGCAAGCAAGTCAAGTCAAGTCACTGCCTTATGTCAAGCAAGTCAAGTCGTAGCTTGGGTCACAAGTCACTGGCAAGTCATACAAACGTTTGATGATTTCACTGAATTTATATATTAAAATAAGTTAAAACTACATAAGTTGTGGACTATGGTTTTATTTGCAACATATTTTTTTTAAATATGCATTTCCACATACAGCTGAGTGGTTACTACAATAAAAATCTAAAAAATAAAAAATAAATACAATTTCAAACTACATAGCCTAAAATGTAAATGTAACTGAAATTAGGCCAACATTAAAGCATGAGAAAATAAATATGCCTCAAACATTGCAGAAGACCATTAAAATGTATTAAACAATTCACAATTCAAGTATAATAATAATAATAATACGTTTATTTTATATAGCGCCTTTCTCAAACCCAAGGTCGCTTTACATAGTGGAAAGGCAAGTATACACACCAGAAACAACCAAAACAATACAACAAAGACAAGTAATCTGTGTGAAGC